GAATTTTGTATGTAAAATTCGTCAGGCATGCATTAGTTCGATGGTTGCAGGAGTTTGATGAGTCACTGGAAAGTATTTTGGCTTTAGATTGGTCAGTCGATTGTCTTTTGTCGATTTGGTTCTGCTCATTCGATTGAGCCACCGCACTACACATTCAAATCGACCTCATAATACTAGTAGTAATGCTAGTTTACCTCACCTACTAACGTGGACGCACTTAGACGTTGACTCGCGAATGCACAGACAGCCAAGACGTGGGGTACTTTCAAAGAGGGTTGGAAGCTTCGTGCGGAACTGCACGCACCAGGCTTCCGTAATAATATATTTATTGCGTTATCTAAAATGGCACCTCAGCCAATAGATTTCACGATATTCGAGGGTCTACCGTATTTGTCGTACCTTTGCACATGTAATTAAATTTGAAGAATTTTTTTTAATATTCCATTTGTTTAATATATTTGAGATCACATTGAATTATATAAATAAATTCACGTTTTATATTTCATTGTGCAGATCAGCGAAAAATACTGTAGATGAGACATTATTGTTTGCTAATGCAATTCTTACTTTGAAGTATATCGATAATTGTCAAATATATTGATTTTTAGTAACAACGTAACGAAGTAAGCCGTTGTCCGTAATTAGTATGTTTGAGAATGAGTGTGATTGCAATTAGCATGGATAGAGAATTAGTGTGGCCGTAATTAGTACTATTAATAGTATGGAATGAGAATTAGTATGGATACCATCCATGTAGTACCGCACTTTGACAACTGTGAATTGATGGCCAAGAAATGGCATGTACAATATATGGTTGCAGTGGTTTGCATGCAAGGACAGAGCTGAAAGACGTGGGCTGGAGACCTCACAGCCCACGTCAAGCGAATAGTGGAATATGTGTGTGGGTTGCTTGTTGTTCGTGCTCACGCAATAGGAGTTGTCGTTGCTTGCCCCCTTCGTGAAAACAATGACATAGCGATGTCGTTTCTTAGGGCTGTGCAAGGCCCTTCAAAAACTAATCTAAAAAGAATTCTATGCAATAATTTAAATAAATATTCTTTGTAATTCAGTCCTTGAGTAAATAATCTACAATTGTTCCATATATTAATAAATCGATCAGATTTTTGAAGCCGTAAAATAAATGATTAACTGAACAGCAGTTACTACTGTAGTACTACATTTATTACGAGCGTCAAACTACGGCGCATTATTCCTAGTGTACTTAGTATTATTGCCTTTGATGTCGGCAGCTTTGAACGCCCTACGTGGTATGGCTTTTACCAACCGAGCTTATTCCTGCATTGCTACTTCATTGTCCCAACGTCAAGAATGTAACGTTATGCGCGATTCTTCTCTGTACGAAGGGGGCCATTGGCAACCACCGTTGTGACTTACAGTTAACTACCCGTAGTCGTTGGTCTCAAATATGAACTATGCAGAAAGCGTGCAAGGTACTTCGAAGTATTACGTAGTTCTAGTACAGTACAGAAGTAGTAACGAGCAATACAATGTAGCAAGTTCATTTCATTTTGGATAACAACATATAGTACCCATTGAATATGTTTACTTCGAAGTATTTAAGTTTTGAATTATTCAAATAATTCATTCGCTCTGGACGCAGGGGGAATAAATAATTCAAGAGGGCACGAGGCACATAAATAACTCAGTCCATAAGTCATTCTGAAATGAATGATATTGTTTTCTCGTGAGCACAAATAGGTAAAAAATAGTATTTTCAAAGGCATTGTGCTGTGTGCGTTAACTGTAAGCTACGTTGAGCGCCCAGTTATCCCAGACATCCGGTACAACCTCAATGCTGTGTCCGACGCCAACGCACTTCTAGGCTTTCGCTTCGACGTCCCAAAGTGGTTGAGTGCTTTGTTGGCGTCAAAGGACGGACGGCAAAGGTCTTCATGTCCGGCAAGTTGGTTTGCGACGGACGCCCACGAATTCATTACCTCGCCTTTCTTCGCTTGGAATGGGCGGTCAGTATTCACCTGACGACGAAGCATGACGTCTTGTTTGTCGTTGAAGACGCGGCGGCGCTGAGGTGTCTCCATGCCAATCAACACCTGCACCACCTGCCACTCAAACCTGATTTTCACTTGCTGTAGTACAAAAACCATCGTAGGTACTTTAAATATTATTTGCAAGCTTCAGGATATAACCCTCTATAGCTGGGTATATAAGCATATTGCTTTTAGTTCTAAGATACGGGTTCGAGCCCCGCGCAGGAATTCATTTTTGATCGAACTTCCAACCACTGTTAGGCATCCACGCATGCAGTGAATGATGCTCGTTTGAAAAGGTGCATGAGCCAGCTCTTTTACTGTAACGAGCTTTGCAGCATTATATCAATCGAAACTGTGCATACAAACGCGTGATATTGCTGTTTACAAGAGTCCGACACGTACTGTATACCGATATACTAGTAGGCCTTATACCGTGGTACTACTGAACTTATTGTGCACAGATCCTTTGAGATACTCAAAAGGCATTAACATCCCTTACTGTTAGTGTATCGGTCGGCTTCATTTTCTTGCCATGTCAAGGCACATTATTAGCCCAGTGCAGCTATAGAACATGTGTATCACTAGTACTATACCCGAGTTGACAAAATGTAGGTGCCAACATCACTGTCAAAGGTAACGTTAGGGTGACTTTGTTGACGATGGTACTGTAATCATCGGAATGGTGGTGTATGTGGTGCGAGTACACAGTATCAGTAGTCCTTTTACTTGACGTGACAGAATTAATACTAACGTTAGTACTAGAAGACGAGACACACACAATCAATGTAAGACACGTTTGCATGTATGGTCCGATAAAGGACGGGACTGGGGAGGTAGTGCTGTCGGCATAGTGTAGGGCATACTGCAGAGGAAGCACTTGGGGGGATACTTGTGTAAAGAGTGGCTTGGGGTTGGCGGCGCATGTGGACGGAGAGTAGGCTTTAGATGCTATCACTCTGGAAACGGCCCTTTGTCGTGACAACCAACCACAAGCCCCACAACCAGTAGCAACGAGTCAGTGTGTGCAGCATATCGACTCCCAATGTGCTGAGGCTGAGGAATGTACAGTACACAGTCCGTTGGAGAGGCAAGCAGAGGTTCACAGTATACCATCCTCATACCGTTAGGTGATACCACAATGCCTTTGGCACTCGGTATACATACAACAACGATGAGTTGTTGTAGGCCGAGCGCCGAATGGCACACCATAGGATCATGCATGCACACAGTAGTATGTCGTAGATAGCACTGAAGTTGGTCCTCTTTGAGCACTCATTGATACAATTGTGTTCATAGATGGTACCGCTTGAAGCGACGGCCTCATCATCGTGTGAAAGTGTCAGAGGAGACACCTTCGCGACATTCCCTCGATCATTTGTCGGCGTCACGAATCGTAGCGTCGACAAGTGAGAACATAGGAAACCCCTTCAACTCGCAGCGTAGCCTACGATGCATTTTGTGCATGGTCTGATTTTCGTCACAGCCATCACGACTGCCATCATGGTAAGTCGCAGCAGCTAGCAGAACGATGTTAGGGCCCCAACGCACGTCGTGCCGCCAACTCTTAAGTGTAAACTCGCATACTACCATACGTAGTACATATTCTGTAACAATGATCGGTCGTCCTTACCTCTTGCTTTACTGTACCACTTTCGAAGACATTTCATCATTTCTTGAGCAATTCCCCGATTCAAACAGTTCCACTGTTGTTTTGACCCGAAAAAACTTCTTTGGGCACTCATTGATACAATTGTGTTCATAAGCATTACAGCTTGAAGCGACGGCCTCATCATCGTGTGAAAGTGTCAGAGGAGACACCTTCGCGACATTCCCTCTATCACTTGTCGGCGTCACGAATCGTAGCGTCGACAAATGAGAACACAGGAAAACCCTTCAACTCGCAGCGTAGCCTACGATGTGCATGGTCTGATTTTCAGCACAGCCATCACGACCGCCATCATGTAAGTCGCAGCAGTTTGCAGCATGATGTTAGGGCCCCAACGCACGTCGTGCCGCCAACTCTTAAGAGTAAACTCGCATATACATTGTACTGTAATGGTGATCGGTCGTCCTTACTTCTTGCTTACAACAGGTCAGAGCTTAACTAACTGTACATCCCATATAAACACCAGTATCTGAGAAAATAAACAGTGGGACTTGGTTAGTCAGGGAATTGAACATCATTTCTTATCACGACTTCTTTACTGTACCACGATTAGTCGCAATTTTGATTACTTCGCAGTATACTACACAATACAATAAGTACTTTATCTGCGTCGGACAAAATATACCGGAAAAAAACTGAACATAAAGAAAACGCTGCAGTAGTAACCAAAAAGCACACACCTTTAGTTAAATAACCTAAGGAATTGCCATTTTGATATCTGCTGATCGGACCACACGATGGAGGACACGCATGTACGACGCCGCAAGACGCGGACGCGGATGCCCAACTTTCGTGAGATCAAGCTCATTCGAGACAGAGAGTCCAAGAGAATCATAAGACAGCAATATATTGCCGACTGCAGGGCACTCAAGGACGAACTGGCCGAGTTGACAGGTCGGTTGCGTGCTCTCCAGAACGCACGAACGTCAGTGTCGTCGCTGCCGTGGCATGAAGTAGCCACGTCCATGAGTGAGGCCATGGAAGAAAGTCTCTCGGAATCCAAACGCCTTCAGCTGCATGTGGAGCGCGCTAAGCTCGTGAGCGCTCGTTTGGTGCAGTGGATGCAGTCCTCAATGGCGCTCGACCTGGTCGAATTCGAGAGCGCCAACGACATCCGAAAGTGGGATCTTCCTTGGAAGCAATCCGCATAACCGCAAGACAAACTCGTGTGAACCATCGGGTTGCAATGGCATGCCAAGAAAATGTACTGGACGAGCCACCACCACATGCGCCGGTTCTCCAACTTAGCGGAGGACAGCATGCATGTCCACGTGTCCACGCGGTGCAGCTTTGTGATCATTCAAACGTCGATCGAAGCGGATATGACAAGGGTAGCGAATGCACTGTGGCAAGCCACGCTGGGATTGAAGGCGCTTACGAAGGTACATGCATATATTTGTGCTTTCAGCCAAAAATTGGATATTTGCGCTGATTCACCAAATCCGTCGGTCGATTGTTGTAGTG